AATAGGATCTTTCCTTTTATTACAATGGGACTTAATAGGCCGAGGGGGTCAAACAGCTTGGATGTTACCGATAAAATGTTCCGTTTTGTCGCTCGGAGACCCATGACAGAATCGTCAATTTAAGTTTGAAGTCATCTTCGCTAGGCAACCAAGATATTCCTAACGCCTTAGTTGACTCTGAGTCCGAGATAGGTATCGACTTAACTGTGCTCTCAGATGCAGTGACCTCAGGTGAGTTTGAAAACCACTTTGTCAATTCAAAACCTGCTGTTTAAAGAACCTGAGACACTTCAGACTTGATTGTCCGTAGCTCCTCTACGCATGCAGCACCAGTTAGCATGTCATCGACGTAAAAATCGGATCCAATTACTTCGGCAGCTCTAGGGAATGAAAGTTTCGCAGATTCACTCAACCTTTTTAAACACCGAACAGCAAGAAAACCGGCTGGTCCAGTACCATATGTAACGGTGTTGAGCTTGTATAATCTCAAGGATTCAGAGGGGTCTCTTCTCCACACTATGAGTTGAAACTGCCTATCCGCTTCGTTAACCATCACTTGGCGATACATCTTTTTTACATCGGCAGTCAGGGCATACCTGTGCAGCCGGAAGCGGAGTAGAGTGGAGTACAACTCTTCTTGGATTGTCGGTCCCACCATCAAGATGTCATTTAAGGCCACCTGAGTCGAAAACAACGCGCATCTTTTTTGACGTACTCTGGGGCCTCAACACACATTGATGTGGAATGACATAATGTGGAGTGGAAGGAATTTTGTTGTCTGTAGGCGACATATGACCTAAGGCGAGATATTCTTCCATAAATTCCAAGTACATGGTCTTTAAGTCAGGATCTCGAGACAACCTTCTCTCAAGCGACAAAAACCGCCGTTTTGCAACTTCAAAAGAATTGCCTAACCCCTTAGGGTCAGATTTAAACGGCAGCCTTACTTCAAACCGACCTGATGGCAATACATGAGTAGTCTTCCTGTAGTACTCTTCACATAACTTGTGCTCAGAGGACAGAATTTTCTTTGGATTTGGCATTTCCTCCAGTGACTAAAATTTCTGTAGCGTGGTGTCGATCGACACTAACGATTCTTCACTACAACTGAAACTATTCACAACTTGCTTCGGCACTGCAGACTTATATCTCCCCGAGACAACCCAACCAAGAAGGGTCTTTTAAAGAGTTGGATAGTCAGGACCTTCTTTAATTTGACCAACAGCATATCAATTTTTTGGGACTTGTAAAAGTAGGGGTCTGCTAATGGGAGGTTCTTTGGGATCTTCCAATCGCTGACGTTCACCGATTGATCGGGATGATAACCGGTGATCGATTTCAAGATCCAGAAATCGAACGAGAACTCACTCCCATTGATTCGTGACTTCACCACGGTGTGTATCTTTTTCTTGACTTGAGAATTGGACTCGCCAATACCAAGTAAGTTGATACACGACTCCTCTCTACGAATCTGTAAGCGGTTCGCAAATTTTTCTGTTATAAAATTCGTTTGTGACCCAGAGTCCAGAAGTGCTCGGGCTAAAACGTATTCACCGCTTTTCGTGCGCACGCTTACGATTGACGTAGCCAAGATTACCCTGTCCAATGACGTAGCATGCATAACATGTGACGTGGAAGGCTGCTCTTGGTTAAAGGGAGGAGAAATATTCTCTTGAAGGAGTGGCAATGCTAAACTTTTATCAGGCACTGTGTTTCTGTGGAGCAGAATGTAATGTAAGCGGTCACAAGCTCTACACTTTTTTCCTTTGCATTTTGACACAGTATGGCCTTTTCGCAGACAATTGATGCATAAGGAGGCTGACTTAACAAACTTGAACCTTTGCATTACAGAGAGACGCCCAAACGGGCTGCAATTCTGTAGTGAATGATCTTCTGCATTCCAATAGCTACAAGTTTGCTGAGGCTTGCTGTTGGAGGAGGAACACGAAAATGAGCTTCGATTATGTGGTTTGCTTGACGGTAATTTTTCCATGTTTGGTTTTGTCGAATCTTCAGCCGAAAAATGCTGGTGTCGGAGATTTAACATTTTCTCACAATCGAACCAAAGTGGCAATGGCTCATAATCGAGCTGTTCCTCCCATTTTTGTTTGGTCACTTTGGTATATCAACATTGCGTTCAAAATTTTTGTATCAACTCCTATCGATAGCAGAGAACCGTAAATCTAAGAAACAGTGTCGATAAGATTTCTCAAGGAGGATGCGGATTGATGCGATATTTTGGAAGACTAAACAATGTTGAAATATTACTCATAATAATGAAGCATTCGTTGTCGTAAACCTTTTTCAAACTGGCCATCGCCTTTTCGTAATTACTCTCGGTGACTTGGTAAGCTTTAATTGTTCCTAAAGCTTCACCAGAGAGACATGAAATTAAATGGTTAAATTTGTCGATAACTGGAATGCTGGCATCTTTATGAACCAAAGTTTCGAAGAGGCTAATAAAATTTTTAAATTCCGAATAATTTCCACTAAATTTTGGCAATGCCAAATTCGGAAGTCGCGCACGAGTTGGTTCTACAGCAGCTGATCCCGGAGTTTCGCTGCTGGCTGCTGTCCTAATGGCAAATAATAATGACATTAATTTTGCCTTGGTCACGATGCTAAGTTCTTCCAACTCGTCGCCATATTCATCACCACTATCTATTTCTTCTATCTGTTCTTGTATTTGATTTGCTTTGTTAATTGAAGCTTTTAAGTTTTCGAGTCGACATTTCAATTCTTCTTGTAAAATCGGAATCGAACCCTGTTCCAGCCGCTCGTTTAATCGGCGAATGGTTCTGACCCTACTTTGAAGCTTGCTTTTTAACTCCTCCAGAAGAGATTTATTTTTTGTATCCTGGCTCATTTTTACGAATTAATTAAATTAATTTTCCCAAGAATGATAATAAGACGACGAAAGTATTAATTATAAATAATATCAAATAATATCAAATAAACACTCAATTAAAAAAATAAAGAAATATATATATAGAAATAATCTTTTTAATTTAATAATTATTTAATATTAATGTTTTGAGGAGGGCATTAATTTATGCCACCTATTAAGCGAATTGATTTAGCGAGGGGTTTGTTTTGTGTTGGCGTAAAATTAGTTATGTTTTAATTTGTGTGTGCTTGTGTGTGGTTTGGTTACAAAGTTTTTGTGTGTTTTTAGTTTCAACGTAAGTGAGCGAATGAATCGAGAGAATAGATAAGCCAAACAGAAGAGCTGCGGCGGAAGAGCTTTCATGCCGGCTTATGAGGTGGAAAGCTTCTGCCGCAGCTGATCGCTTGTTTACAAATAATGATTTAAAACATGCTAATATTAAATCTGCTGCTTCTGCTCCCGACATGCTCCCCCCGCTGGATGCGGCACGCTGCCAGATGAGGTGGTTTCCAGGGGTAGAACAGCCAACAGCCCTTTTTATTAGGCCGGTGGCTGTCCGAATGACAGCGACACGGGCCACAGCGTCAGCTCCATGGATAATGCTCTCCACTCTGCCAAGGCGCCATTGAAGCGGAGGGATGTTGTCCTCCTTGAGCACTACAATGCTATGCGGTAGGATGTTGGGCCTTGATGCACGCCATTTCCCACGTTCTTGTAAAAGCGAGAGGTAGCTGGTACTCCACTTCCGCCAGATGATTTGCTGAATTTGGCAAACTCGTTGCCAGCGGCTCAGCCGATCGATGCTGAGGTGCGTGATGTCGGGCTCCTCGATTGTGACGAAAGAAGACCCAATCAAAAAGTGACCAGGTGTAAGGACATCCAAATCGTTAGGGTTTTCTGAAATTGGACAGAGCGGTCGAGAGTTAAGCATCGCTGAAATTTCATAGACTAAAGTGCGAAGCTCATTGAATGCGAGAATAGTGTTGCCAACGACACGATGAAAGTGATATTTTGCAGATTTGACGGCAGCCTCCCATAGGCCGCCGAAATGAGGCGAACGAGGGGGAATAAATTGCCATTTGATCCCGATGGAAACGAAGGCCTGCTGAAGATCGCTGTTTTGAGGGTCGGCGAGAAACAGTTGCCTCAGTTCCAGCAGCTCGTTTTTGGCTCCAACGAAGTTTGTAGCGTTATCGGACCATATTGTGCCAGGCTTGCCCCTTAGGCTTATGAAGCGCTTGAGGGCAGCGATGAATGAAGCCGCAGACAAATCCTCCACCAGCTCCAAATGGCAGGCTTTAGTGGCGAAGCAAACAAATATTGCGATATAGCATTTGACGGGTGGCCGGTTTCTGACTTGAGACTTGGAGTAGAAAGGACCACAGAAATCGATTCCCACTGTGACAAATGGTCGACTTGGCTGCACGCGGTTGGATGGCAAGGGGGCCATGATGTGCTCAGCTAATTTGGGCTTTAATCGAAAGCAGCGAATGCATTTGTTGATAGTGGCGGCGACTATTTTTCGACCACCAATTGGCCAAAACCTTTGCCGTAAAGCCGCCAATAAGCTCTGCGGGCCTGAGTGAAGAAATTTCAAATAATAGTGAGCTATGATTGCTGACGTGACTGGATGATCCTTGGGAAGCAAAATTGGGTGTTTTGCATCATAATCCAATAATGAATTCTGCAGCCGACCGCCAACTCGAATAAGTCCCGATTCATCGCAGATTGGATGCAGCGAGTACAGCTTGCTTTTTGAGGAAATCTGCCTTTCGGATTGCAGGGCCTTATACTCCTCAGCAAAGTTGATGAGCTGGATTCCCTTGATGAGCAGACGCGTGCCTCCCTTGATGTCGTCTACTGTAAGAGGTCCTCGCCGTCGTGGCTCATCTCTGGCTTTTAGCATTAGGAACCGATGTATGTAGCCAAAGACTCGCTGCAGCTTTCCAAAACAATTTTGAAACTTGCAGCCATACGAAATATCCTGGCTTTGCGTCAGCACCAGCGCGAGGCGGCGGCGTTCAGGCACATCTACTAGAGTAGGCGTATGAGGCGGCCAGCAAGCTTCGTCTGCCCGCAGGAATGGTGGGCCCTCACGCCACAGCGACGAATCCAAAAGTTCGAGCGGAGTACATCCTCTGGATAATATGTCAGCCGGGTTGTAGTGGGTCGATATATGATGCCAAGCCATATCCTTGGTCCTTTCTTGAATCTGCGCGATTCTGTTGGAGACGAAAATGTTAAAGTCTGATGGGGCCTGGCGAATCCAAGAGAGCACAATTGTTGAGTCAGACCAACAATGATATGTGCAAGGCTGAGAAATTGCATTAGCGATGTTGTGGATGAGTTCGGATAGCAATAGAGCTGCGCATAATTCAAGTTTGGGTATGGTTATTGTTTTAAGCGGCGAGACTCTAGACTTGGAGCAAAGCAAATGTGATGAGTAGGTGCCCCCTGCTTCGGAGCGCACATAAATACAGGCACCATATGCCGCCAAGCTTGCATCACAAAATCCATGAATTTCCAAAGATGAGTCAGATTGCATGATGAAGCGAGGAAATTTTAAATGGCTGACTGCCGAGATTTGCGCGGAGTGTTCCAACCATAAGGAATGCAAAGATTGTGGCAAAGTCTCATCCCAGTCGAGCTTATCTTTCCACAGGATTTGCAGGAATATTTTGAGCCTGGTTATAATGGGCGCTATAAGACCTAGGGGATCGTAGAATTTGGCTACGGCTGATAAAATAGACCGCTTGGTAGCTGGCTTGTCTGCTACATTTCCAGAGAATCCAAAAAGCAAATTATCGGAACTTGTATCCCAGTATAGGCCAAGTGTTTTGGCGACGTCAGTCCCATCACTGAATTTGAGCATTTTCTCGCGATCAGCCTCAAGTTCTCCTTCAAGCGCTGCCGGCTCATTGGAGCACCATTTACGAATTGGAAATAGGCCTTTTGCAAGTAACGATTTAACCTGCTGCCGGATATAAACGACCTCTTCGATCGAGTCGCCTCCAGAAATAAGGTCGTCAACATAAAAGTCCCTACGCACGATCTTGGCTGCCACAGGAAAATCCTTCTCCTCATCATAGGAGAGCTGCTGCATAGCACGAATTGCTAGGAATGCAGCAGGCTTAGTGCCATAAGTGACGGAGTCCAGGGTGTATATTTTAATTTCTTCGCTTGGACTATCACGCCAGAGGATGCATTGGAGCAGATTATCAGGTTCGGTGACACGCACACAGCGATACATTTTGCAGATGTCGCCGCATAGTGCCACTTTAAAGAATCTGAACCGAACCAAAGTGCTGAAGATTTTAGGCTGAATGGAGGGACCAGCAAAGAGCAACTCGTTTAAAGAGTATCCAGACGAAGACTTGGCAGAACCATCGAAGACTACCCTGAGTTTGGTAGTCGAGCTGTCCAATTTGTGAACGCAGTGGTGGGGCAAATAATATTGCGGCAAAGCTGACTGCTTGCAAGAGAGCGACATATGGCCTAAATCGATATACTCCTTTATAAAGGCAATATATTGAGCCTTGAGATTAGGATTTCTAGCCAATTTGGATTCCAATGATTTGAATCGCTGCGAAGCACGATGGTATGAATCTCCTAGCATATCGAGACTAGTCTTTGGGGCAATCGAACTGAATATTGGCCTGACTCAAGCCGAGAATAAGATTGAGCAAATAAATTCTCGCACAAGGCATCCTCATCAGTTGGAGCAGATGACGATCCACAATAGCTGCCAATTTCCCAAAACCGTTTGACAAGGTCCGGCAACGATTCAGGTTCCAATTGTACATCGTGCTCAACTGACAATGCGGGAAGAGAAGAGTGTTTATGGGCCGGCGAAGATATGCCACCGGATACTACCCAACCCAATCTAGTTTTTTTGCAAGGAGGGAAGGTGATCGGCCAGCCGTATCTGCCCAACGCAAAGCAGGTCGAAGAAGATTCCAGCTCCTATAAGAATGTCAATCCTTTGACTTTTATGAAAGAGCGGATCGGCGAGGAATAAATTGCTGGGGATGTTCCATTCTGAAGAGTTTAGGTCGAAATGCGGCTGATAATTTGTGATGGTGCTAGTCATTATTGCAGCGAATGATGTTTGGTAACTTTTGTTGCGAGATTGTACAATAATATCTACCGCCTTATCAGCCATGAGTGAAGACTCTCCTATACCTGAGATGCATGTATTTGAGCGACGAGTTGACAGTTGCAATTGATGAGCGAGTCGAGAAGTAATGAAATTAATTTGCGATGCAGAGTCGAGCAAGGCTCTGCAGGGCACCATTATGCCGGAACGATTTCGGATATATATGATGGCAGTGGCAAGAAGCACATAATCAGATTGATGATCTACCGAGGCTTTAGGTGGGGGTGAATTTGGCGAAGCAGAAATGAGCGAGGCACTATTTTGAGGAGCAGAAGTGTATGTGGGCTGCGAGGGTGATGAAGCAGGATTTGACTCCAAATGTAGCAATGTATGATGCTTAGAGCGACAATGCCTGCAGTTCCCAGCTTTGCACTGCTGCAGGCTGTGGCCTTTACGCAGGCAATTTAGGCAAAGATGTAGCCTTTTTGCTTCTTTGTAGCGTAATGTGGGACTCAAGGCAATAAATTGTGGACATTTCGAAATAAAGTGATCCTTAGAATCACACAAAATACAAATTGAGGTGTAGGATGATGCGGTGCAAGCGTTTTGGACATTTTTATTTATAGTTTTTCCCACCTGGTTGCTAGGTGTGTGGGTTACCATAGCATTTTCAATGTTTTCCATCATCCGACATCTCTTCTCCAAAAAGGCAGCCATATCCGTCCATTTTAGCAGCTTATTGGTAGGCAATCCCTCTTCCCACTTCTCCTGTGTATGCTGATCCAGTTTGGAGGACACCAGGGATATGAGCATTCCATCCGCAATCTCCTGGGTGGTTGCCATTGTGTTAAGGGCTCGCAGATGAGAGTTGATGCCGTCGCTCAATTGCCGCAAACTCCTTGCCGACCCTTTCACCACACTAGAAAGCCTGAAAATAGATCGTATGTGCCCCTGAAAATGCAAAAGTTTGTTATCAAACCTAGCAGTCAATAGGTCGACTGCCTTCTCATAATTGGCCTCTGTTGGCTCCAGCGAGCGAATTGTGTCTAACGCGGGGCCATCCAAACAGGAGCGTAGATGCTGGAATTTTTCCAAATTGGTCAGGTCCTCGTTGTTGCCGATGACTGTAGTGTACATAGCGTAGAAATCTGGCCAGTCCATATAAGCGCCTCCAAATCGTGGCAGCTTAAACTCAGGCAGCCTAGTGGCCCGGACACCAGCCCTGGAGGTTGAAGCCTGCTCGATGTTGAAATTTGGGAGTGCAGTCGAATTTATCACTGACACTCGGCGGAGTTTTGCTAGTTCGCGAGATATTTTGGATTTCACCGCACAATAAATGTTTAGAAATTTTGCACGCACATCACTAGCCAGCTCTAGTAGATTGAGCCTTTCGACAGCTGTTTGAGATTTATCAAAATTATCTTGCATTTGTTCAATAAGCTCAAGCCTGACTTGAAGGTCAGCCTCTTCTGAACCGAAAAAGTCATTTAAAGCCACTAGCTGTCGAAAAACCGAGTCCGCTTTGGCTATATAAAAGTCAAAATCACTATTGGCCCCGGATGGGCACGCAGTAACCGAATCATTCTCTGCCATTTTATTTTCAAAAAGAGTATTCAAATGTCACCTTGGGTTTGCGACCGATGCAGCTGTACCAAACGCAGAGAATAGAGAACGAAAGAATAGCGGAGCCATGCTTGGCGTTCACTGACCGCGAGCTAACGGTTCTATCGAACCACCAAAACCAACAGCACAAACACAATTTGCACGAAAAGTATATAAAAGGGCTGCAACTATATGCTAGTGCACAAATATATAAAGAGATGCTATGTACTCGAATGTACCGATAAAGTTCAATAGCGATGCAACGATATGCAATTGTATTGTGTGAGCATACGAACTATATATAAGCACTTTTCACCTTTTATTTTAACGAAAACGATTTTTTACGCGATCACGTCGGGGTCACCAAATGTTTTGAGGAGGGCATTAATTTATGCCACCTATTAAGCGAATTGATTTCGCGAGGGGTTTGTTTTGTGTTGGCGTAAAATTAGTTATGTTTTAATTTGTGTGTGCTTGTGTGTGGTTTGGTTACAAAGTTTTTGTGTGTTTTTAGTTTCAACGTAAGTGAGCGAATGAATCGAGAGAATAGATAAGCCAAACAGAAGAGCTGCGGCGGAAGAGCTTTCATGCCGGCTTATGAGGTGGAAAGCTTCTGCCGCAGCTGATCGCTTGTTTACAAATAATGATTTAAAACATGCTAATATTAAATCTGCTGCTTCTGCTCCCGACAATTAATAATTAATTAATTAATATTACAAATTAATATTTTTATTTTGTTCGAAAAGTCTATTAAATATTTTTTCGATGACAAATAAGTCACGCAGTATAAATATTAATAGTGGGTGCAAGTGAAGCCGAAAAGTGTATACCCGACAAATACAAGGTAGCGCGTCACTTGGCGGTCCGCCAATCAAATGACCGAAAAAGAGTATACCCGACAAAAACAGGGTAGCGCGTCACTTGGCGGTCCGCTAATCTAAGCGCGGAGATGTAATTTAAGTTATCTTCTGTAGCGCTATGGATTGTTGCATCCATGCTATCAGCAATTTGCCAACCATGGCTTCTTCTATTACTGTACGGGAAAGAGCATCCGCTACATAATTTTCTTGTAGTTTCTTTGTAGTTTCATGTTAGGTTCTTTAATGTTGTTAAGCCACACCAGTGGTTTGTGATCACTTAATATTTCAAATGGCCTTCCGAATAGATATGACCTAAAATATTTAGTTGCCCAAACTATAGCTAACAATTCTTTTTCGATAGTAGCATAGTTTATATCGTGTTCATTTAGCGTTCTGCTCGCGTAACATACGGGCTTATGGTTTTGTGACAAAACAGCACCAATTGCTATATTGCTAGCGTCAGTTGTTAGAGAAAAGGGTTTGAGAAATCGGGGTAGATTAAAATCGGGTCTGAAGTTATCAACACCTTTAGTTTTTCAAATGACTCTACATAATCTCTGCATTTGGTATCGATTACCGCTCCTTTTTTCAACTTTAGGGTCATAGGTTTAACTACCTTAGCAAAGTTAGGAATGAACTTGCGATAGAACCCACATAAGCCTAGAAATGATTTTATTTGTTTAGGAGTTTTTGGTAATGGGAAATTTGTGATTGCGTTCGTTTTGTTTGGGTTAGGTCGAATTCCATTAGTAGTGACAATATGTCCTAGGAACTCTGTTTCCTTCCTCATGAACTCACATTTATCTAATTGCAATTTTAAGTTAGCGTTATGATAAAATATGTTCCTCCAATGAAGTGGAGTAAATTATGATATCATCCAAGTATACCAAACAATCCTTGTAGATTAAATCTTCTAACAAGTTGTTCATGCATCTCTAAAAAGTTGCCGGTGCATTTTTAAGGCCAAAGGGCATGCGGGTATATTCGTAATGCCCATGTTTGGTTAAAAACGCTGTTTTTGCAATAGATTTCTCCTCCATCTGAATTTGATGGAAACCTTTAGCTAGGTCAATAGTAGTGAAATACTGACATCTTCCCAGTTTGTCAAGTATTTCGTCCATTCTAGGAATCGGAAATTTATCATTTATTGTTATTTCGTTAAGATTCCTATAGTCGACTACTAATCTGAATTTCGGTTTACCTGAGGCGTCTGCCTTCTTTGGAACTACCCAAATGGGTGAACAATAGGGGGACTTAGATTTTCGGATAATGCCCTGCTCTATCATGTAACGAATCGCTACGCTCAAAACAAATGTCACAGGCAAGTTGTTAGCTCGAGATCGGAGCGCACGCAAGATATTTTTCCGGCTTCGGCTCGTCGGCTACGGGAGTGATGGTCTTGCTCAGATCTCGGGTTGCCTTTGCATAATTTTAAACAGAAATAACTGCGTGCTACAACAAGCTTAAACCGGGACAGAGATACAGACAACACATAAATAAAAGTTGAGGAAAATTTAACTCTCTTCGCCTTACTCCTCCTTTTTTAGCACTCCTGGTGTTCTGGAGGCTTTAGTTTGCCCACCCTTCCTATGGTCGCTCCCATCCTCAAAGCTATATAGCTTGAGCGACCCCTTCGACAAGTGCTACCCTACATCACAACGCATGCCAGCTGCGGCCAATACTCGACATTCTAAAACATTATAATAATTTTATTTAAAACTAGAAAAATATAAATTCATTACTTAAACTATAAACGTAGATAGAAATTAAACATTAAAACTTAGAATACCAATGATAAATAAATATACGTCCTTCGACTCAATTTCGGGCCTTAATAAAAATGATGGCAAAACAATTTTTGGCAAGTTGAAGGAAATTGTTAATTACGCTGACTGAGATTCAATCCACATGTTGCAACAACAAAAATAATAATTCGAATTGGAGAAGCATAAAAGCCCTCAGCTTAAATAGCCTTAGCGCAGTCGCCTTATGTATCAGCGTTTCTCTTTTCTTTCTTCTTCCCTCTTCGTTTTCTGCCGTTGGTTTGGTTAAACTTCGATCTTTCTTTTATATTAACGCCTCATCATTTGGGACATTTTCTTTCTTTCATTTATTTCTTTTTCTTTCTTTCTTGTACTTGAAATTATTTAAATTATTACTTCGACACTCACCATTTTCTTAACTCCACCGATGAAAGCGCTTTCCTCGGAGGCTAGCTGTAAATTGGGATGAAAATGATACATGCAAAAAAAAGAATTCACATCCCTACAAGAGATTACGAAGATGGGGGGAAACTGTAAAAAAAGACGCATACGGCCCGCGCTATTTGAATCGATTTTCTCGTTAATTTTCACCGGAATGCAACGAATTAACATTTCTCTTTGCCGCACATTGCTCTTTACATATGCCTAAGTTCATTTCACATCATTCTTTTTTTCCTTGCAATTTTTCCGAGATTTAACCTAACTTAAAATTCTATTTTTTCTTACACTAATTTTCCATATTATCTTCACTGACACTGGAACAAAATGGTGGTTGAAAATTCCCTTTTTCTTTACAATAGTTCGTCGCGATGAGGCATGGGGCTCGAATTAATGTACTTTGGCCGGGATCGCATTGCGGCGGCGAGTTCAAAACGCCCGAAGAATTACATTAAACTAATCGCAATGCTTTGCCGAAGCCTACGCCTACACCGACTCTGGCATAAAAGCTCGTACGACTGCTACCGATTCTCAGCTTAGTGTGCTCTCTAGAGCTGTTCGCCAAGGGGACAAAGGTCGTTCTACCGCATTCGGCATTAATTATGCTTCAACCCCATAAATTATATAAAAAGTAATATTTTCCCAGCTCTGGTGAGCGGGGCGACGGGGAAGTCCTCCTCCTAGAATTCAGATCCAGGCGCTTAAAAGAATCCAAGAAGCTGCGCCGGCGTCGTTTCTTGCCTGCCCTCGCCTCTCCTCGGGCCTTCGAGCGGTACAAATTGCAGCCTTTAAAATTCATAAATAAGTTTAAGCTGCCTATGCTTTTCCCTATCTGTACGCTCACCTTTCTATTCGTGGCTCAGTGGCCAATAAGCAAAATTGTATTCTCAGCACTTTGAACACTCGCGATTACTTTTTCGAAATTTTGTCGCCAGTCGCCAAATATAGGAGTCACTACACTCAGCAGCCAAAAATGGAATGCTGGAAGATGACGCCGGAAAAGTGGCGGTAACCCAATGTGAAAGTGGGGGAAACGGGGAGACCGTTGACAAATGCCTCTGTTATCTCTCACCCGATCTTTCGTGCCCTAGCCGACCTACGCTTGCTACACTGGCAAAGCCGCCTTTCGACCTATGATCGACCAACAGATGGCGCTCATAAAAAGTATCTTATACCGAGCAAGCGCTACAAAATACCCCCTAGCAAGATCAGGCTTGGGGATCAACACTCCAAGACTGATAAACAGCTTGCGAGGCTACTGCTTTATATCCTTGGCGTGAATCGGCCTACATAACGCCCCTGCAAATCTTCAAGATCATAGTAAACTTGTCCGATCTTATCTCTTACTCTAGCTTTTATGAAAGACGGACCCAACTTTGCGTTGTACCCAGTTGCGAAATTGCTCTGCTTAAAATTCCTTCGATAAACTTCTTGGCCTTTACTAAAAGATACTTCCTTCGATCGCAGATTATAGCTTCTTTCATTCTTTTCGAATTGGTTTTTCATTATCTCCGATGCTTTGCTGCGAGCAAGTTCTAAAGAATCCTCCTTCGTGAATGCCAAGACCTATCTTCAAGCAAACTAAGAGCTCTCAACACCTTATACGTTGCACCAGATGAGATGAAATGCTGCCCGAAAATCATATAATAGGGTGAAGTGCCTAAACTAGAGTGAACCGCTGATCTGAGGCACAGCAGATGCTGCTTAGCTGCTCGTCCCAATCCTTCTGGTCGCTGC